CATATATACTTTGGAATTACTGATATTTCTTTTTCATCTAATACATTTTGTACATATTTTAAAAGTTATGTTTTAAGTTTAGTTTGTTGCTTGTATATGTAAACTCTCCCCTTAAAAAAAAATAGCTTAGTTCTTTTGTCCCAGAGAAACTTCATTTGAAGTGACAATTGTATCTACCATGGTCTGTTAAAAATATGTGTGTGTGTGTGTGTGTGTGTGTGTGTATACACCTCTTTCAAATTAGCACCCTTACTCCTGGAACTTTATCCAACAGAAATAAAAAATGCTTGTTTTTAAAGAAATCTGTTCATGAATGCTTACTGCAACATTGTTTTTGAAGGCAAAAACTGGAAATAGAGTGAATACCTGTAATATGGAAATGATTGAATACATTAGGTACATCCACACAAAGGAATATTTTTGTAGCCATGAACAGAAATGAATCAGAGCTGTTCCACTGGACATGAAGAGATTTCCTTGAAGTATTTATTGAAGAGAAAAAGAAGCGAAGGAAAAGTATCTTTTTTGATCCATTTTTTGTAAAAATTGCACTCCTATGCATGTGTATACACACATACACATATGTTGTCTAGTGGTAAGGATTTAGAGAAGAATATGTACATGTGCAAAATATATAAACACACTCAATTGCTAACATGGGGAAGGTAAAATGTGGCTGGTTGGGGAGGTGGGAAGTAGAGTTGAGGCATATCATTATTTTTATGACTTTTATGGGCTGGGCTGGACACCTCACTTTAATAGTAATATTGTTTTAGTGGAAAAAAATGTGTCCCCAAAGCTGAACCACAGGGTTCTATATTAAAAGTATTTAAAGAGAGAGATGGGTGGCATAAATATATCAAATACTAACTGGTAATTCAAATCATATTTGTATGTTAGTGAAGTGGGCCATTTGTGTTTCCCTCAGGGGCAGTCAAATTTTCAGTTGTGTTTTCACAAAATAGTTGCATTTCCTCAGCAAAGTCCAGTAAGCAGCAGGGTGGGCAGACAGTGAGCACATGTGTGTGTGAACAGACATGTGTGCACACAAAGACTTAGATGCACACATACATGCAAGCATGCTTGCCCACACACAGCCTACAGAATGGAGCTGCACTGGATTGCAGGGGATTCTAAGGAACTGCTATCATCACAGTGGGGTAAATTTTTTAGTTAAAAGACACCCAGAGATGGTTTCCTTCACCTACCTCATTTCTAAGGAAATGAGAGTGAGGACCAGAAAAGTAAATGACTTGGCCAAGGTCACAGAGCTGTTTAGAAGCCAAATGGGGAAATTGGACCCCAAGATCTCATGAATTGCAATTCCCAATTTGTAAAGCAAATACAGCCCACACACTTGAGGCCAGCTACACATGCCCTGAGTGTCTCCAAGTGGAAATCTTTGAGAGTGAGGGTATTGTGGTTTGATTTACGATGATTGCAAGGATATGGTGCCTCATGGGCAGGTAGCTGATAGTACATGTAAACATAGGTGGGCTGCAAAGAAATTGTCCCCTGACTGCCCGTACATGATTTTTGGTCCTGGATATAAGTAGATAGACTTGTCTTCTGCTGGTTTGATGTTGTGGAATGATTTATTCTCAGCCTGTAAATGGAGATTGGAGAGTATTGCAAGCAGGTCTGTGAGTTTTGAATTTGAAGTAGCACTGTAAAATCCTTATTTATTTGTAGTTAATAAACAGTAATTGTGAATTGGTGCATTTGAAGGATTTTGTTAAAAAGAGCACATAAAGGAAGACCCTAATAACTGCATTCAGTAGGTGTACCTCTTTACACAAAGGAAAAACATGCTCAAATGGCTTCAGGAAGTCCCTGGGCAGAATAATTACTTTGTCCTTTCCCAACCACTTAGTAAACTGTGTTATCCAAGGGGCTGACATTGGTTTCCAGTTTATGTTTTGGCAAAATGCTGATTCCTCTTTATCTAGGATTTTAGCTTGTTGTTTATTGAAGTGTCATTTTGCAATGTGAGATCTTTCTCACTGTAATCCCTCACCCTTAGTGGAATAAATGCTCAGAACATTTATTAGTTGCCAATCATGTGACAGGCACTTTACTGGAATGGTGTGTGGTAGGAGGGGCAGGGGTATGTGGAAAGGCTTGAGAAGTGGGCAGGAGAATATCCTGAAAGGCCTTGTTTACCATTTTGAGGAAGTCATCTGTCCCATAAAGGATCGGTGCCCACCTAAGGAAGGGAGGCTTGCCGCCAGACATGCAACTTAGGAGGCTGACTCTGGCAACAGATGAAGCACTCCTGCAGGCAGGAAGCTTGGATCAGAAATACTGATTCCTTCACTAACAAGAAGGAATGCTAAATTCTGTTTGTTCTTACTTGATTGTAAGAAAAAAATAAACACAGCCAATAAAAAAGCTTTGGGGTCTTGGACATGAATGATAGTCCAAAGTGGTCTACCAGGACTCCTTTATCAGCAGGAATATTAACTGTTTGACTTTGGCTTTAGAATTTCAGTATTTTAAAATATGTATGTTTTAGAGATTAAAGATTAGTTTATTGGAACATACCATTTTCTAGATTTATGATACTGTTTGTTCTTATAGGTGATACTCTCAGGAATCATAGGATTAACAACTTGGAAACGGCCTATGATCCTTCTGGTATGTACTGATCTCATAAACGGTTACTCTTTGTAAAATGTGCTCTGTATGAAGTCTGTGGAAATAAACCATTAAAGAAAGGCTAGAGCCTCCTTGTTCATTAAAAAAAGAAGTAAACAATGGACAATATTAGAAGTCAGATGTTTTCATAACAGTAAAGTATAATGATAATTTTGTTGGTTTTCAGATTAACTTTAAGTTTCTCATGTTTCCAGTGCTCACATTTATATCTATTTCTAGTTCCAGGATTGGACCTATTGTAAAGATATAATTTTATTTGTATTTTTATTAAGGTATCATTGATATACACTCTTATGAAGGTTTCACTTAAAAAACATTATGGTTACTACATTCACCCATATTGTCAAGTCCCTCAATACCCCATTGAAGTCACTGTCCATCAGTGTAGTAAGATGCCACAGAATCACTACTTGTCTTCTGTGTGCCACACTGTCTTCCCTGTGACCCCCCCCACACCATGTGTATCAATCATAATACCCCTCAATCCCCTTCTCCCTCCCTCCTCACCCACCCTCCCACACCCCTCCCCTTTGGTAACTGCTAGTCCCTTCTTGGAGTCTATGAGTCTGCTGCTGCTTTGTTCCTTCAGTTTTGCTTCATTGTTATACTCCACAAATGAGGGAAATCATCTGGTACTTGTCTTTCTCCACTGATCATAATACCGTCTAGCTCCATCCATGTTGTTGCAAATGGTAGGATTTGTTTTCTTCTAATGGCTGAATAGTATTCCATTGTGTATATGTACCACATCTTCTTTATCCATTCATCTACTGATGGACACTTAGGTTGCTTCTGTATTTTGGCTATTGTAAATAGTGCAGTGATAAACAGTGGTGCATATATCTTTTTGTTGTTGTTGTTGTTTAATTTTTTATTAAGATATGATTGATTTACACTCTTATGAAGGTTTCACATGAAAAAACAATGTGGTTACTACATTCACCCATAATATCAAGTCCCCACAATACCCCATTGAAGTCACTGTCCATCAGTGTAGTAAGATGCCACAGAGTCACTACTTGTCTTCTGTGTGCCACACTGTCTTCCCTGTGACCCCCCCACACCATGTGTATCAATCATAATACCCCTCAATCCCCTTCTCCCTCCCTCCTCACCCACCCTCCCACACACCTCCCCTTTGGTAACCACTAGTTCATTCTTGGAGTCTGTGAGTCTGCTGCCATTTTGTTCCTTCAGTTTTGCTTCATTGTTAGTGTATGTCTTTTTGAATCTGAGATCTTGCTTTCTTTGGGTAAATTACTACGAGTGGAATTTCCAGGTCAAGTGGTATTTCTATTTTGAGTTTCTTGAGGAACCTCCATATTGCTTTCTACAATGGTTGGACTAATTTACATTCCAACCAACAGTGTGGCAGTTTTCTCCTTTCTCTGCATTCTTACCAGCATTTGTAGTGCCTAGTCTTGTTGATGTTGGCCATCCTAACTGGTGTGAGGTGATATCTCATTGTGGTTTTAATTTGCATTTCCCTGATAATTAGTGATGTGGAGCATCTTTTCATGTACCTGTTGGCCATCTGAAAAAGATATAATTTTTGAAATGCCAGTTTACTATGGACATTTTAAAACATATACAAAAGTGGAGGGAATAATGTAATGAACCCCCTGTACTAATTACTTGGTTTCAACAATTATCAATTTATAGCCAATCTGGTTCAGCTAGACAGAATCTCATCTATTCTCCTACCCTCCATATTCCTTTGAAATAAGTCTCAGATGTTAATCATGAATAAGTGATTTTTTTATTGTTATAATGTTTTGGTTGGACAACCTCAGATTTTCATTGCTTAGATTTTCTATATTCTCTTTGTCACATGAATATTATGTTTTCATGGTAATTAGACATATGTTGGCGACGTTGTCCTTTGTCAGTTGTTGAGATAAACTTTAAATAATATAAAATTAACCATTTCAAAGTGTATGAATCAGTGGCACTTAGTATATTCCCAGAGTTCATGCTTTGTTTTTATTTGCTTTGTCCTTTTGATTCAGGGAATACTAAAAAATAATAGACAATTGCCAATGGAGTATCCAGCTTTCAAAGATGAAGTGGGGGGTCTAGGAAATCCAGTTTGAAGTATACTTAAAAATTTTTTTTTATATATAACATCTCTCCTTTTGATTTTTCTTCTATCCATCTTGAAATAGGGCTAAATAATTTTCTAAAGTTGTTTTGTATATACACTTAACAATTCATTCTAAACACACCACAGTTTGCTAGGTAATGGGTAATAAATACAAAACTAGTTAAATTCTTAAAGGCAAGGAGAAGCAGCACATTGTAGAATACAATCAGAATATTGGATCCCCTGTGTTGATGGTCCTAAAAACTGAACTAAAGAGTTTTCAGGCCAACAAGATAATTCAGGGAACATTTTATAAGTCCATCAATTATTTAGTGAAGCTCCATTAATATCTCTGGAAGGACTTGTTGCAATATTTTAATATGTTAAGAAACAAGATAGAATTATGAGACTTTGAATGAGTTTTATGGCAATGTATTTTACTGGATGTGTTAATGAATGGCTGGGGTTTGTTTTGCAACAACTTTCCAGGTTTATAGTCTCAGCAGAAAAATTTTGGATGGTGTTCAATGTTTATACAAATATTTGGTTGTAGGAGTCGTCTTGGCACTGTCTTTTTCCATTGGGTCAGTATTGAAATGCTTAGTAATACAAACCTCAAGTATTTCAATTAAAATCAGAAAATCTCTGTGGCTATTTGTACTTTTAAAACTACAAGTGGTGAAGAGGATATGAGTGCATATTCTAGGTAGATATTAAGAAAGTTCATCTTTAAGATATGTATTTCTTTAACATTGTTTTCTTTTCAAAAGGTGCCCTATAAATTTATTATGTGACCTCAAGCTTCTTTAAATGAAAATGATCTTAATAAATATGTATCTCTATTATATTTATTTAAATTTGTTTCTCATCTTTGTTGACAAGTATATGTATTTTGTCACAAAGTTGTAACCAGTTTGTATATGCCATGTTGTGCTTTGCTTTTTCTGTTTAATATTAGGTTAATTATGTTCATTTCAGTTAATATTGTTTCCATGTAGGAAGAGTCCACGTGCCTATTCCTTAGGAGCATTGTGCCATGTTTCTGTATTACCATCAGTTATAAGACTTCAGGACACTTGAGCTCTATGCTTTGACTATGAATTATGTGTTTAGAAGGTTATGTAGAGGTTGTTTTAAAATGTTAACTAACATCAGTTTGCAAAGGAGACATATTACTTGATAGGAATTGCACAAGGAAAAACTTGCTGAGTATATCAGTAGGTGATTGGAGGCTTAGTCAATATCATAAATGAAAAATCCTCAGTTCATGTGAATCTTAATAGTACACCATTATAACTCATGCCAAATGCTTTTATTATGTTAAAAAATGAAAAAAAATCATACAATGTAATGAAAGAAACTGGACACAACAGTCAGATTCTCCTCCTTGAGTATGGTTCATCCCCAGATGAGGCAGGAAACTGCAACCCACCTAACTTTTCTGAGTGTAGTTATGTTTTCTGAAAAGAGGGGCTAATCTAGTGATAAGGCAGGTCTACCTCCAACCCCCACTCGCACTGGGCACTCCACCTTTTTTTGTTTTTCCTCACCCCCAGCTTGCCTTCCTGAGTTCAGGGAATGCGCCAGCGGGTAATCTAGGTGGGCGGCTATGTTGCATCAGAGGAGCCAGTAGGGCCTGCGTGGGTCTGTATTCTTGCTTGTCTGGTCAGAGCTGCAGCCCTTCTCCCCTTTGCATCCCACACTCTACCCACAGGGCACCTTCTGATTCTGACACAGCCAGACTGTCTTATACAAACTTGGGGCTTTCTTCTCCGAGCTGTGTCCTGGCTGGCTCCTTCTCTTCTGGGTCTCTGTTCAGCAGTTGTTTCCCGGGAGAGACCTTCCTGGGAGAGACCTGTGTCTTTGCCCCTCACCAGGTTCCTGTGCTGATACAGGCCTCCTGTAATTAGCCTGTGTGCTGTTTGTTTACAATTTGCTGTCTGTCTCCTGCAGTGGATAGTCTGATGAGGACAGGGGTCTTGTCTGTCTTCTTCACTCTGTATCTTTGGGGCCAGTGTGCTCAAGACACGTCTATTGTTGGCTATGGAGTTCTTTAGCGGGCAATAAACAATTTAAGTCCTAGGTGAGTCCTTAAAGTTTCTCTTCTACTTTCATCTTAAATTTTTCTCACTTGCTTTTGTTCTCTGAAACTTAGTGTTCTTCCCCTTTAACTTCAAGGCAGTGAGGGGATATTTTGGTGGAAGAGATTGGGAGGGGCAGGTTGGTCTTTGCAGGCCCTCTGAGTGGTAAGTGGTCTTCTCTTTGAGTTGGTTGCATACAGTCAAGAACCCTTGAATACTTCTTTTCTTTTTATTAAGGTATCATTGATATACAGTCTTATGAAGGTTTCACAGGAAAAACATTGTGGTTACTACATTGAATACTTCTTTTTGAGAATCATTTACATTTGTGCTCCCACTTTTGTGATTGTTTCTGTGATTGCATCAGGTTTTGTACCGGTTCGAACAAAAAGGGTCAGTTTGACCTAGTTCCTTCAAACTCAAGATTTCATGGAAACTCTAAGTCAGAAGCTTTCATTCACTGTGCCCTCTTCCTTATGCTGCTAAATACTCACATGCCCAGAACAGAAATAATAATGTTGGAAAATAGTTTGTAAAAAAATACGTATGTAGCTATTTTTGTATATGACTAGGATTAAGCATGTGTGTACATGTGTGGGTGTGTGTGCTTGCATGTGTATGTGCGTACAGTATTCTAGGCTATTTTCCATCAAGAACAACATTTTCCATGTTTAAAGAATGCTCTTATTTTTCTAGATATTATTCCTTTTTCATTCTAATAAAACATTTTATTACTGTTTAGAAATCACAGACTCAGTGCTGGAATGACCTCAAAGATTGTCTTGTCTAGGCATCTCAGTTAGAAAACAGAATTC